TTTTAGTAGAGACAGGGTTTCACCATGCTGGCCAGGCTGGTCTTGAACTCCTGAGCTCAAGCAATCCACCTACCTCAGCCTCCCAAAGTGCTGGGATTACAGGCCTGAGCCACCGCACACCCAGTCCCCATATTACTTTCAGAAAATTTCTTCCTGTGTGCTGCATGAAGAAGGGTTGTAGGAGTGAGGGTGAGGGGGACCAGATGGGACGATTTCGGTCACCTGGGTCAGGAATCAGTGGAAGAGCTTGGCCTGGGATGGTGGGGTCAGAAATGGAGCTATATGGGTGGGATCAGTGTAGTCTGGAGCTGGAACAGCACCTGAGGTCATCTCTGCAGAGGGTGAGTACAGTGCCTGGCACTAAATCAGTGAACTTTATTCACATTAATCTGTAGGAAAGACTGCTGGCAAAAGCCTCCCAGCCCCGGGCCTGCCATGTGTAGGTCCACCACGTTTGCGAATGCGAACCAGCCCCCGGGACTTTCCTGAGTCACCCCTCATCCTTTACACCCAATACCCTGAGAATTGCCAGGCTCCTTCCCGCCAGAGTGTTTCTGACTCAGCGTCTGCTCTTCCTTCGGGGTTCCTACATTTGGGAAGCCTAAGATGAGACAATTTTTTTTTTTTTTTTTTAAGGACGGGGTTTCACCATGTTGGCCAGGAGGGTCTTGATCTCTTGACCTCGTGATCCTCCCACCTCGGCCTCCCAATGTGCTGGGATTACAGGCGTGAGCCGCCATGCCCGGTCCCTGATTCCACTTTTAAGTTGCAAATCCCCCAGTGAGGGTTACAGATGGAATGGGCAAAACCTCCATGTAAAGTAGAAGGTCCAGGGGCTTCCTGGTCTTTGGAAGCTGAAGTGGATATTGCAAAGGGATCAATGGTGTCAAGGCTGGATGCCTTGGCACATCATTAGAGATTAGGGTCCAGAGCCCATGGTGGGAATTAATGCAGCTGGTGCTCTTACCTGCCAGGGCCAGCTGTAGGGGACCGCGTCCTCACCATTGACAACGCGGCTAGAAGGGTGAGAGGAAGGTCGGCCACAGCCTAAGGCTAGAGGGGAGAGGAGAGCTGTCAATCAGCTGGAGGGTCCCCAAAAGCAAAGAGGAGACCAGTGTCCCAGTCCAAGCTGTGGCTTCAACTGGCTGTGTGACCCCATGTAAGCCCCTGTCACTTCTGGACCTCAGTAACCACGTATGAACAGTGAACATTTAAACTAGAGTAGGAATTTCCAGAATCCCAGGAGTCCAGGGATAGAGATTAAAATGTGGCCTCCTTCACTTGGAGGATTGAAGAGATTGATACACTTTGAACAATGCCTGGCCCTCAATGGAGCCCTCAAAAAGTGATAGCTATTGTCATACAGAGTGGAGGCTTTAAAGGACTTCCTGGGTTCAAAGTGCAGCTCTGGGCTGTGTGTGGTGGCTCACACCTGTAATCCTTGTGCTTTGGGAGGCCTAGCATGGAGGATCACTTGAGCCCAGGAGTTTGAGACCAGCGTGAGCAACACAGCAAGACCTCATCTCTACAGAAATAAAGTAAAATAAAATAAAATAGCCAGATACAGTGGCAAGTGCCTGTAATCTCAGCTACTCAGGAGGCCAAGGTGGTAGGATTGCTTGAGGCCAGGATTTTGAGACCAGCCTGGGCAACAACGCAAGACCCCATCTCTACAAAACAAAGCAAACAATAAAAAAATTAGGCGCAGCTCTGCCTTATGTTCTGTGATAAGCTACTTTACTTCCCTGAGGGTCAGTAAAATTGGATAATGATAGTTCTGATCTCATGAGGCTGTTGTGAGAATTACGAGAAAATATAGGAAACACCCTGAACATTCTGCCTGGCACATAGTAAGCACTCAACCAGTGTTATCTATTACCAATATTGTCAGTCAAGGGAGGCTGCTTGGAAGAGGTGGCACTGAGCTGGAATGCAATATGGCAGAGAGACCAGGAAAAGGCTAGACCATAGTATCTGGGGCCAGGTAGGGGGAGTGTGAGAGGAGAGCTGGAGTGAACAGTGGAAATTCCAACCTAAGATGTCCAGCCACAGAGCCCAAACTCTTAACCATTTGACTTTGTTTACGGCCCCCATCAAGGACTTCCACCACAGTCCTTTGGAGTCCTTCTCCACCCATGGCTTCCCCTCCCCTCTCCTGCTCCATCATGAGCTAAAAGCCCCCACAGTCATGCCCCCAGGTACAAGCGGAGACCCCCTCCTGTGGCACCAGGCGCTGGTGTCATGGGACTCAGAGCGGGTGGTAGATTTCAAGGATTCCTAGTCCAGGGAGCCCAGGGAGCACACACACAGGGTGGGGTCTTACCAGCGGCCACAAGGAGGAGGGAACTGAGCAGCTGGAGCATCGTGTGTTTCTCGATGATGGGAAAGGGGCACAGAACTCGGGGCTCTAATATAGGCAGAAGGTGAGTGGGGGACAGAGTAGGCCCCATTCCCAGAACAGATGGTGGAACTCCAAGTCTCCCATGGTCCAAGGCCACAGTCCTCACCCACTGCAGCTGGAGGAGTGCCAGCCAAGGGAAGGACCCAGGGTTCCCTCCAACAGGTGGCTGCACAGGTGGCGTGGAATGGCCAGCTGATAACAGGGGAGCAGGAGGAAAAGTTTATGTCAGGACAAGACCTCATCCTTCCAAAAGAACAGGGACACTGGAACTGGTCAGACTAGGGCTCAGTCCTGGTTCTGCCACCTCCAAGCTCTGTGACCTTGGACACACGGTTTACCCTCCCTGAGTCTCAGTTTTCTCATCTCTAACATGAGATTTAGATTAGTACCCACCTCCACAAAAATTTTTTGTTGAGCACTTTTTGTCTATATATCAGGCACTGTTCTAGGTGATACAGCTGTTAAAAAAAAAAAAAAAAATACATGGTCTCAGCCTTTCTAGAGTTTGAGTCCAGGCTGGGAGCAGTGGCTCACACTTGTGATCCCAGCACTTTGGGAGGCTGAGGCAGGAGGATCACTTGAGGTTGAAGATAGAGGCCAGCCTGGCCAAAGTGGTGAAACGGTGTCTCTACTAAAACTACAAAAATTAGCCTGGCGTGGTGGTGGATGCCTGTAATCCCAGCTACTGGGGAGGCTGAGGAAGGAGAATCAATTGAACCCAGGAGGCGGGGAGGCAACGGTTGCAGTGAGCTGAGATCATGCCACTGCACTCCAGCCTAGGGGACAGAGCAAGAATATCTCATTAAAAAAAAAAAAAAGAAAAGAAATAAAAGAAAAGAAATGAAACATGGGTGATTGGGGCAGGAATGGGAGTAAGTCATTTAGATGGGGGGACAGGGAAAGTGACATTTGGGCTGAGGAGGTCACAGCTGATGAAGTCCTGAGGATAAGTAAAAGCCAGTTATGGGAATCCCAGAAAGAAACACACTCTGAAGGGAGGGGTTGTGGGTGCAAAGTTCTGGAGGCTGTGATGGGTTTGCCTTGTTCAAGGAAAGGGAGGCTGGTGTGGCTGCAGCTTGGTAGTCAAAGTAGAGAGGGGAGGGAGATGAGGTCAAAGAGGAGGCGATCCCGAAAGTTGAACTCACACGTGACCCTGCAGTTCCACTCCTGGGTCCACACCGTGGGAAAATCTTACACACGCACTCCAGGAGATGTGGATGAGAATGTTTGCCGCAGCCTCTGTTCTCAAACCCAGAAACAACTCCCACGTCCATCAAGGCTAATAGGTGAATATATGTAGCATATTCACACAATAGATTATTATTTTTTTATGGTGGTGCAATCTCGGCCCACTGCAACCTCTGCCTCACGGGTTCAAGCGATTCTCCTCCCTCAGCCTCCCGAGTAGCTGGGATTAGAAGCACGCACCACTGCGCCCAGCTAATTTTTGTAATTTTAGTAGAGACAGGGTTTCACCATGCTGGCCAGGCTGGTCTTGAACTCCTGAGCTCAAGCAATCCACCTACCTCAGCCTCCCAAAGTGCTGGGATTACAGGCCTGAGCCACCGCACACCCAGTCCCCATATTACTTTCAGAAAATTTCTTCCTGTGTGCTGCATGAAGAAGGGTTGTAGGAGTGAGGGTGAGGGGGACCAGATGGGACGATTTCGGTCACCTGGGTCAGGAATCAGTGGAAGAGCTTGGCCTGGGATGGTGGGGTCAGAAATGGAGCTATATGGGTGGGATCAGTGTAGTCTGGAGCTGGAACAGCACCTGAGGTCATCTCTGCAGAGGGTGAGTACAGTGCCTGGCACTAAATCAGTGAACTTTATTCACATTAATCTGTAGGAAAGACTGCTGGCAAAAGCCTCCCAGCCCCGGGCCTGCCATGTGTAGGTCCACCACGTTTGCGAATGCGAACCAGCCCCCGGGACTTTCCTGAGTCACCCCTCATCCTTTACACCCAATACCCTGAGAATTGCCAGGCTCCTTCCCGCCAGAGTGTTTCTGACTCAGCGTCTGCTCTTCCTTCGGGGTTCCTACATTTGGGAAGCCTAAGATGAGACAATTTTTTTTTTTTTTTTTAAGGACGGGGTTTCACCATGTTGGTCAGGCTGGTCTTGAACTCCTGACCTCAGGTGATCTGCCCACCTTGGCCTCCAAAGTGTTTGGATTACAGGCATGAGCCGCTACGCCTGGCCAATTTTTTTTTTTTTTTTTTTGAGACGGAGTCTTGCTCTGTTGCCCAGGCTGTAATGCAGTGGCACAATCTCGGCTCACTGCAACCTCTGCCTCCCAGGTTCAAGCAATTCTCCTGCCTCAGCCTCCCAAGTAGCTAGGACTACAGGCTTGCGCCACCACGCTCAGATAATGTTTGTATTTTTAGTAGAGATGGGGTTTCACCATTTTGGCCAGGCTGGTCTCAAACTCCTGACCTCATGCAATCCACCTGCCACGGCCTCCCTAACGTGCTGGCTTTACAGGCATGAGCCACCACGCCCGGCCTGGAAGGGGCAATTTAAATGAATCCCTACAGGGGAGAGTCAGGCATCTCACTGGGAAGGTTTTCTCTTAGGAGTGAACCCCCTCCAATCACACCCTAGCCACTCCAATAGCCTGGGTTTGTGGAACGTGTGTGAACACAGCAGAAGCAGCTGTGAAAATCCTTCATTCTGTGATAAAAATAGCCATGCCTTCCCCAGCCCCCTGTTCCCTATGGGCCTGGACACGTTTATTTGCTCAGCTTGAAAGCTCTGAGCCATTCCCCAGAATCTAAGCCAAGGAAGAAGGCGGGGGTGGGGGGGGGGCCAGGAGATGGCTGGGGAGAGGGAGAGGGGTAGGTCAGATACGCCCAGATTCCACTCTAGAGTGTCTGAAACATACAGGGCCTAAAAGATAATCTAATCCAACCACTTCTATCTGACAGAAGGGAAAATGACCCAGAGAAAACCCAGGACTTGCTCAAGTCTCCCTGGTTTGTCACTGCTTGGCCTGGTGAATGGCAGCCCAAGGGCACAGGGAGGGTCCACTCTCCCTCCCCCAACTTCAAACAAGAAGCCTTCCCAGCTACTTCTTTTTTTTTTTTTTTTTGAGACAGAGTCTCTCACTGTTGCCCGGCTGAAGTGCAGTGGCACAATCTCCACTCACTGTGACCTCCGCCTCTCGGGTTCAAATGATTCTTCTTTCTCAGCCTCCCGAGTAGCTGGGATTACAGACACCCACCACCATGCCCAGCTAATTTTTTGTGTTTTTTTTAGGAGAGATGGGGTTTCACTATGTTGGCCAGGCTGGTCTCAAACTCCTGACCTCATGATCTGCCCACCTTAGCCTCACAAAATGCTGGGATTACGGGCGTGAGCCACCACACCCCATCAGCTGCATCTTCCCAGCTTCTTTCCCAGGTGACCTTGAGATCACTGTCATGGCCATCTCGGTTTTGGTGGGTTTTAGCCGGCTTCTTTACAGCAAGCTGTTTTATCAGCAAGATCTTTATGACCTGTATCTTATGCTGACCTCCTGTCTCATCCTGTGACTTAGAATGCCTTAACCTTAACCTGGGTCCCCAGGAAGAGGGGCTCCCTGAGGCCGCTGAGGCCAACTGTCCCATCACAGCCCCTGACTGGTTGGCACTTCGAGGCCTTATGGACGGACACTGTCAGTCGCACGGCTGATTAACTCTCTGAGGGTTTTCTGGCCTAGGAGTAGTCTGAGTAAAATCCCTAAAGAGGAACCCCCTCCCAACACCTGCCCCCGAGAGGGAAGATGGAGGGGTTAGATCCACTTTAGGTTGCAGCCTGAAGCCAAGCAAGCCATTTCCTGAATGGGAGGTGGAGGTCGGGTGGGAGGGTATGGAGAATTAGGAGAGGGAGGGCAGGAAAGCTGGGGAGGGCGGGAGGGGAAGCTGGTGAGCCTTTTTATTGGGACCAGGGGAGTTCCATTATTTCTAGTGGGAACTAGTTACCACCCGATGGGAAGCTCTTTGAGGGTCAAAACTTGATCTTATTCGTCTTCAGATTCCCGGTGCCTAGAAGGGAGCTTGGCACACAGTAGGTTTTCAACAGCATTTATTAAAGGAGGCAATAAAGGAATGAAGGAAGCAGAGGATTCTTCAAATGCCTTCCTCTTCCTGCCCTGAAAGCACAGTTGGCCCTGACATTCACACAGGGTGCACCTGGAGGGTGTCCCCTCTGTGTGGCCGGGAAAAGCACAGCAGTATCTGGATGGTGTCCTGATGGGTAGCATTCTAGAGGATATTAATAGATGTTTGATGATAAATGGACCCACTAGAATGGAGCCCCCATGGGGCAGGGGGTGTGTGTGCTTTGTTTCACTGCCATGGCCTCAGCTTTCAGAATATAACCCAGTGGGCTCTCAATAAAGTACTAAAGGTCAGATGGGATTAGGAAATACGAGGTAAAATGAAGTTCAAGTTGTAATTTCCTGCAGGACTTCTCAGAGACTTTGATATGCCAGTGTTTATGGTGAATCACACACAGTGGTCTTAAGTCCAGGACTCTGGTGTCTTATTGCCCTGTAGTTTCTGTGAAAATAAGTAACTCAAAATCTAAGCTGTTGGAACTTTAAAATACCTTAGACTTAAGGGAACGAGATTATGGGAGCTGAGTCATGTAAACAGGCAGCCATAACTTGCGTTTGTTTTAGATCAGCTTTTCCTTACCCACATTGTTTGTGAAATGTTGTAAATGACTAAAGGGTGGCCGGGCAGACTTTCCCTTTTAACTGTCAATCTTCATTATAGATTAACTTCTTTCTTTTCTCTATCACACAAAGACTTCCTGACTATTACATTATCTAAGATAGAATGTTAAATACACAAATTGGAAAGGAAAATAAAACCAACTGTATGGAAAAGAAGAAAAATTGTAACCAGCTATATTGTAACTCATAAGCCAGCCTGCTATAGAAAATGTTATAGTCCTACTAAATTTCTTTGTTTTCCACCTATATGAGCAAGATC